CCTTTTTTTTTTTTTTTTTTTTTGTGCAGGGAATCAAACTCAGGACCTTGCACTTGCAAAGCAGGTGGTGGAACTACTGAGCTAAATCCCTGCCCCTGCCCCCCCCAACCTTTTTATTTGTCTCTGATTCTATTTTCTGTTGCTGTTGTTTGGGTACCAGGGATCGAACTCAGGACCTTGCACTTGGGAGGCAGGCGGTAGCAACACTGAGCTGAAATCCCTGGCCCATCCTTTTTATTTTTTATCTTGGTCAGTGTGGCTATGGTTTCCAGGAGCCATTAAAAAATCTTTTGGTCCTTTTCTACGTGTTGTGTCAAGTGTGCACACTTATGAATTGTGTAATCGTGCAGTTCTGAGGTACTGGTGACTTTAACAGATGAACTTCAATGGTCTGTGTTGGAAGGGGAAAGATGCTTTAACCAGAAACCCCATTATTGACTTGTTTTGCCACTAGTCCCTTGAATTGGAAAATTCGAGATATCACAAGCTGAGAAAGTTTTTCTCTTTATTTTTTGTCTTGCGGAATGGCTGGAAAAGTATAGTTTTGTTGTTCTCTCTCTTGCTTTGATTTTGTTTTCCTTTGTTTAGTTGTCTTGGTTTTACAGACTTCTGGTATGAGTGTTGTGAGTAAATGAAAGGAAAAAGTTGAATTTACTTAAAAGATTTAAAGAAACTTATTTCCTGTAGAATTACTTAGGCATTGATTTATCGGTGTTCTCTATAGTGTTTAGTAGAATAATCCTCGCTGTAGTAGGTATCCTGTTGGGGGGGGTCTTTTAGGCAACTATTATTACTGTTTCAGAAATACTTGCTTACCAATTGCTCCTGGCTGGAGAGAAATACATAGCATTATGGACCAGACCAAGTGGGTTCCATGAAATTACCGTCCAAGGGTGTATCTCTAGCAGGAAGTGAAGAGGAGCTAGAACATTGAAAATAATCTAAATTAAGAAACATCAAGGAGGAGGAAGTGCTATAAGCTATGCTTAGCAGTGTCTGAGGCACAGAAAGGAAAGACATGGGAGGAAACCAGTGACAGAAGGAGGGAGAGGTGGGGAGCAGTCACATGGCTGATGAGAGTGAGTTTATCTTAGCGTTTGACCTTTAGTCTTCGTTTAGTATAGACAGATTAGAGATTGATTTATTCATTTTTGAGACAGGGACTTACTAGTAGTTCCGGCTGGCTTTGAAGTCACTAGGTAGCCCAGGCTGGCCTCAAACTCTTGGATGCTGGATGACAAGTGTGCACCACCATGCTGGCCCCATCTTTTAAAAGACACAGTTTCACAGGGCTTTTGATGACAATCTCCATTCCCAAATGGAGTGTTGATGTGTTTGTGTCAGGAAAAATGTTTGCAGTATTAACATTTACCACTTTTCGATAAAAGCAGAGCATTAATTTTAATCAAATGAGAAAAGGGAGTGTGTGTGTGTGTGTGTGTGTGCTGGGATCAAATACAGGGTCTTCTGCATGCTGAAACAAACCCCTAAGCTGAAAATCAGCCCTAGCATGATTTGTCAGGATGCTCATAATATAAGTTCTATCCCTAAAAATAAGCCCCAGCTAAGATCTCAGCCATATGGATGCATTTAGTACTCCTTTTGCAACACATGATAGACGTATTGAGTTATAATACGATAGGTATGGTGACACACACCTGTAATCTCAGCATTTGGGAGGCTGAGGCAGGAGAATTGATTGAGAAAAATTAATACATAAATATAAGTAACATTGACGTCAGAATTAAAATGCATGATAATATAGCATAATTAAATGTTTGTAAAAACCCAAGCAGGCACCTTTGGACAAGAGGTAAATGTGAATGTAAACAGATGAGCTGGAGACTTATTGTCCAGTAACCAATCCAAGCACAGATACAACCCACAAATAATGTGTGCAGATAGGGAATGACATGGTTGTTTGTTCTGTCATGTGTTGTAGTGGTGTACTTAATGCCCTCTTGTGAAATAAGAATTTTGGTGTTTGCAGTTTTTGGTTGCTTTTGTGTGGACCATCATTCTTTTTTGGTTGGTTGTTTATTTTTTGAGACAGGGTCTCACTATGTAATTGAGACTGACCTGGAACTCATTATGTAGCTCAGGCTGGTCGCGAACTCACAGCGATCCTCCTGCCTCAGCCTCCCGAGTGCTGGGATTACAGATGTGCGCCACCACGCTCCAGCTGGACCATCATTCTTTTTTGGTTGGTTGTTTATTTTTTGAGACAGGGTCTCACTATGTAATTGAGACTGACCTGGAACTCATTATGTAGCTCAGGCTGGTCGCGAACTCACAGCGATCCTCCTGCCTCAGCCTCCCGAGTGCTGGGATTACAGATGTGCGCCACCACGCTCCAGCTGGACCATCATTCTTAACTGTCAGTCATTTTTTGTCGCCACTCCTATCTCATAAGTCTTCAATTAACACTTCATTTGATAGAAAGTCTGTGAAGCCCAGCCGGGAAGAGGTCAGGACTTGAGTAAAGAATTCATGGGGTAAAATTGCTGACAGCTGTGTCACCAGCAGGCTGCAAGCAGGCTACATGGACAAGAAGTGCTCATTACAGGAGAGCGCTATTGCTGGATGTGAAATTGGGGTCATTGGTTCTACAGGAAATGGACTCACAAGAAGT